AGCCCCATTCGTTTCCCTGAGGGACCCGAGCAGGACGGGGGGTGCTGGGGCCTGCTGCCCCCACTGCGGGGCTGCCCGCGGGATTGTACCAGCTGGGCAGCAGCCCAGACGCGACTGGCCAGGGGCTGGGCGCAGCGTGCGCGCTGCTGGGTCCCCGCAGCAGGCCCGGGCTCAGGGAGTTTGGGCCCGGGCGCCAGAGTCGCAGCCGCTGAGCGCCATGGCCGCTTCCTCCGGCCGTGGCAGTAGGAGCTGCAGCAGCGGCTGCTCCCGAGTCCCGCTGCCCAGGTGGGGAGAACAGCCGCCGCCTGGCCCTGCGGGCCACCCCCCTACTCCTCCTCCAGGTACCGCCCAACTGAGTCCTTCCTGTGCTCGGGGCCAGGCCGGACTCTCACTCACCCCGGCCCCATGCCAGGGCCTCCCTCCAGCGCTTGCGGAGGAAGGAGGAAGGGGGGGTGGGGGTGTTTTTTTGCTCCGCCCCCCGCGTCCCGATATTTGACCTGGGTGATCTGGTCACCCTAGACCCAGTCTTTGGGGGTCGGGTCAGCGGGGACATATGGGCTAGTCTCTGGAAAGACCACCACCAGAGCACAATCAGGCCCACCGTTCCATCATCCAGGCCATGGTGTGGACCCACATCTACCTGAATGCAGGCTGTAGCAGCTCCTATCTGGAGTGACACGGTCCTTTTGGAGAGTCCCACAGTGACATGTGCACTGTGTGCTATGGATGCCCCCTAGTGGTCATTCCAATAAGTACATGCAAAGCAGAGGGAGCACCCAGAATCGCATCAGTGCCCTCATTCCACTCACAGCCGAGCTTCGCTGCCATTGCACTAAGTCCCTGGCCACGCAGCAGCTAGTGGCACCAAGTGCAGGTCTGAACAAGGGCCATGAAGTCTTAGCTACTGCCCCCACCCAGCCCTCCCTTGCCTCATCTGTCCCCCTTGCCGGAGTTCCCCGGTCAGCTGGCAGGGTTCTCACAGCAGAGCGCAGAGCCATGCTGGCTTTCCAGACTCTTGCCCCCTTCGGCACTCACCTCTGCTGGGCCCCTTCGGTGGGCCACTGACTTTCTTCTCTTCTACCTTCGAAACATGCTCAATGGGCCCCAGAGCCGGCTGCTCTTCCATCTGAGGCTTCTCATAGATATAGGAGCCAGCTCCACCAATATTCACACCTGCAACGGGAGCATCAGTGTTTGAGGCTGTTGGATCCAAGATGCCCTGTGGGCTTTCCTCCTCTCCCAGGGCACAGGGCCATTACGAAAAGCAAGCCTTGGCCAGCCTGCACTCCCAGCTCCAGCTGGAGCCGCCGGTCTCTCCAGCACTCCTGTTCTCCTGGCCCAGAGACACGTCCTCTCACTGCACCTTCCCCAAGATGTACAGCTGGGAAAGGGCCATGTCTGCAGCACACTACAAATGGCCTCCTGGCCCCTCTCCCATCCATGAGCAGGAGTTAGTCACCACCACAGCTCTGCCCCATGTGGCTCTCTCCTGGGACTATTTTACCTCCTGGGAGGCGATGCTGTCTGAGCGACCAGCCCTTCCTGTGGTTTGCAGGGGAGCTGTCGTGACTTCTCCCCTGAAACATCTAACCTCCAGCTCTGTGAAGAGCAAGTTCCTCTGAACTCACTGCTGATCTGGAGCCGCTCAGTGTGGGGTTTGGGGCTGTGAAGCGCTGAGATGGTGGCTCTTTGGATTCCCCTGGAAGAATCTCTCACACAGCTTTGGCCTGTGCTGCTCTGAGTCTGGGGCAGTTGTCAGGGCCCTAAACTCTCCTGTTAAAACCTAGGATAGGACAAGTGCTCTGAATAGCTGCGTGAATCACTGCAGCCCTGAAAATGGGCAGCATTCATCTTTCTGCCTCTGGGCGTCCATTTCTCATACGAAGGGGAGGCTGGTCAGGAGGCATACATACCTTTTGGTCCGAACAATGTTGCATAGCATGGCTTGTGGCAGAAGGGCTTCCCGTCATGCTGAGGGAGAGAGAGAAGGGGCATTAGGAATGGAGGTTAGCAGGGGCTTTCCCCCTGGCATCTCTAGTGCCAGACACCAAACCCCGGGACATACTAGCTGCCATACCAGGCATTACTGAGAGGCGGGAGCTTACATTCCTTAAGTGTCTGTAAAATATACACAAAGAGACAAAAAGGGAATGAATTTGTAGACTAACATTGAGGGAGTCCTGTTACACATAATAGTCAAACAGTTTATATAGAGAGGAAGAGCATTCTGGGAAAGGGGAGAGAACTTCACAGCAAGAGGTACTGCACTCTCTCTCTTATGTACAATGTTCCTCACAAAAGACCTCAGTCCTGCCCAAGAACGCCTCCCATTGCCCACCATTAGCTTCAGCTAAAGCAGGGGTGGGCAAACAGCAGCCCGCGGGCCACATCCAGCCTGCCAGTTGATTTAATCCGGCCCTCGAGCTCCTGCTGGGGAGTAGGGTCTGGGGCTTGTCCCGCTCCTGTGCTCCAGCCGAGGAGCGGGGTTGGCAGCTGCTCCACCCGTGCCTGCCTCAGCTCTGCACAGCCCCGGGAAGCAGTGGCATGTCCCCTTTCCGGCTCCTATGTTTAGAGGCAGCCAGGGGGCTCCACGCGCTGCCTCCACCCAAAGTGCCGCCCCCCGCAACCCATTGGCCGGGAACTGTGGCCAATAGGAGCTGCAGGGGCATCACCTGTGGATGGGGCAGTGCGCTGAGCCGCCTGGCCGTGCCTCCGTGTAGGACCCGTAGGGGGGACATGCCGCTGCTTCCGGGAGCTGCTTGAGGTAAGCGCCACCCGGAGCCTGCACCCCTGAGCACCACCCCCCCATGTCCCAATCCACTGCCCCAGCCCTGATCCCCCTCCCACCCTCCGAACCCCTTGATCCCAGACCGAAGCACCCTTCTGCACCCCAAACCGCTCAACCCCAGCCCCACCCCCAGCCGGAGCCCTCACCCCCCTGCACTCCAGGACCTTGCCCCAGCCAGAGCCCCCTCGCACACCCTAAACTCCTCATTTCTGGCCCCACCCCAGAGTCCGCACCACCAACCAGAGCCCTCACTCCCTCCTGCACCCCAACCCCAATTTCGTGAGCATTCATGGCCCGCCATACAGTAACTCCTCACTTAACGTTGTAGTTATGTTCCTGAAAAATGTGACTTTAAGCGAAATGATGTTAAGCAAATCCAATTTCCCCATAAGAATTAATGTAAATGAGGGGGTTAGGTTCCAGGGAAATTTTTTTTCACCAGACAAAGTAGCTGTACACACACACACACACACACACACTATAAGTTTTAAACAATTTAATACTGGTACACAGTGATGATGACTGTGAAGCTTGGTTGAGGTGGAGGAGTCAGAGGGTGGGATATTTCCTTTATTGCTAAATGATGAACTAGCAATTGGCTGAGCCCTCAAGGGTTAACTCTCTCACTCTGTAAGGCAGCAGGAATGGAGGGAGGGGAGACATCACAGACAGACACACACACCGACAGACATGCACATTTCCCCTTTAAGTACACTGCCTTGTTAATTAGATCAGCTTGCTGAGACCGCAGCTGCTGCAAGCTCCCCCCGTCCTGAGCCCTGGTGTATCCCCCCTGCTCTATGGAAGCTGGGGGGAGTGGAGTGCAGAAGCAGGGTGGAGGGGGACCCCTGACATTAGCCCCCCTCTTCCTTCTCTCCCTCCCGCACAGCAAGCAGGAGTCTCGGGGAGCAGCTCCAAGGCAGAGGGCAGGAGCAGCACACTGCAGTGGGAGGAGGGACAGCTGCAATTGCTAGCCTGCTGGGCAGCTGCCTCACAGGGAACTTAGGGGAGCGGGGAACTGATAGGAGGAGCTAATGGGGGGCTGCTGGTCCACCCTGGTTCCAAGCCCCCACCAGCTAGCTGCAACGGGCTGCTCTTCCTGCAAACGATGTTAGATGGGAGAAGTGTACAACTTTAAATGAGCATGTTCCCTAATTGATCAGCAACGTAACACCGAAACGTTACACCGAAACAACGTTAACCGGGACGACTAAGTGAGGAGTTACTGTACAATTTCCATACCCAGATTTGGCCCTCAGGCCAAAAAGTTTGCCCCACCCCTGATCTAGAGTAACACCAATAGCCCGCCAGCTTTCCTTTCCGATAGCCCAGCAGTTACAGCACTATCCTGGGACTCGAGACACCCAGGTTCAATTCCTGCCCTGCCCCAGACTCCCTGCATGACCTTGGGCTAGTCACTTTGTGCCTTAGTTTCCCACCTGTACAATGGGATAACAGCACTGCCCTGCCCCACCAGGCGGTTGTGAGGACAAACGCATTGAAGACTGAGGTGCTCAGATACTGTGGTGACGGACGGGACCTTGTATGGCCCTAGATAGATTTATCATGTTTACATCCTCCTGTCTGCGGTGAGCATGTGATGGTCATCACACCGGGGGACCGAACCACAGAAATCCAGAGCTGGAAGCGTGAACGGCTACAGCTTGAGCTCAAGAACCAAGCCCCTGTCGCTGAGGGCTGTTACAGACTAATATCCTTGTGGATCAACACTGAGAGGGACCCATAACACAAACTCACCACTGGTAACCCATACAGACTCATAGATGGCTCGGCCCACCCCGCCCAGCCCCCCGTGATGGAATTGTGGAGTCCCCCTCCAGTGAATCAGAGACCCGCCACAAAGCACTAACTGAACCAAATGTAACTGGGCTGTCACTGGCACCTTGTGCCCTCCTTCAGGTACCTCGGGGCTACACGCAGCTGAATCCAGAGCCGAGCAGAGCATCCATTTCAATAACTAACACTCTAAATACACAGCCCCGGGTGTTCACTTCAGTGAATATTCTGGGGGTTTCATGTTTACGTATCTCCCAAAAGAATTCCATTACACCATAAAATAACCACATGAAAGAGAGGGCACACCAGAACCCACGGGCAGTTCAGCTCAACAGGCTCTCAGAGCTGAAACTCTGCAACATGACACAAAGATCCAGTAACATACGATTTTGCTTTTTAACATACTCTGCGGGTTGGACTTCTCTTGTTTATATGCTTATTTTGGGGGATTATGTAAGGTCTTGGGAGCCAAACTGCGTCATCCTGGCAAGACAGGACCATTTATTTTAAGTGATTTCCATCTACTGTGGAGTTCAGATTGTATTATTACTATAATACTTTTAGACTTGGAGATGGGGAGTTTGTATATATAAACAGAGGTCAGATTTTCAAGCTTTGGTGCTTAAAGCGAGACACCTAAATCCGTATATAGACCCCTAACTAATTGGCCTGATTATCAGCAGGCAGAATGTCCAAAGCTCCAGCTCTCTGTTTTGAATTTGGTCACCCTTTGCTGTACAACCTGTGGAGCCGCAACATAGCTTCATTTATTGGTGCTCATCTGTCTTAATTGATTTTTGGGTATTTTAATTTCTGATTCCGATTGGTCAGTTTAGTCACACAGTGGGATATTTTCAAAATGCATTTCTTTTGAAACAAACACAAAGAAAACCAATAAAAGATTCATCTGAAAATTTCAAAGGTTAAAAGAAAGTCCTGTTTGAAAACGTATGGAATGAAAACCCCTCCCCAAATCTCTGCAATTCCCAGTGATCTTGAAGGCAGAGTGGGGACAGTCCATTTAAAACAAACAAAAAAATCTCCTCAAAGTTTCTAAATAACTTTTCTGCAACATAGCAGCATGTGCAGGGGTAAGGACTGGGACAAGGTATTATCAGCCTGCATTTGAGACCATGCATAACTCACTCATGCACAACACATCCATCCCCGAATCATATCAATAAAGCCCTTTATACATGCCACTCTCCCCCTGCTGCCCTCATTCCCCCCACCTCCATGCTGCACCCCAGTCTCACTAGCAAGGCAAAGAGAGAACATCCCCAGGAGGCCATGATACCATTCCCCCCTCGGGTCCCTCTCCAGGCACGGTTGCTATGGTGCTTGCCTCATCAGAGCAGTTATCAGCTCACATTATCAAACAGGGGCTGATTGCTTAGAGGAAAAGCAGTTTTCTCTCTGGACAGAGTGATAAGGAGCGAGAGTTTTCCCCCCTTATGTCATGCCCTTATCACAAGGACTGGGCCATGTGTACTGCCATTGATTGGGGGGGGGGGGTTGGAAGGGGAGGGGACAGGGGCTGGGACAGCCAGCAGGCAGGAGATAATGTTATTCCAGCTCCCGGCAGCAGTTTCCCACCAGTCAGTGGGAAGCGAGTCAAAGAAAAGAGAAAGTATCTGTGGTCTCTGGCAGCTGGGTTCTGCAAGGGCTGGGATGCTGAGCACAAACCGCTCCGCACAGAACCAAAAAGGAAGTCCACTGGCCATGTGTCTGTCTCCATGGTAAATGTGGAATGCATCCCTGGGGGCTGAATTCGCTGCCTCCCATGCAGCACACTGGAAGGCCTGGGCCCATCCAGATGGGACACTGGAGAACCAAAGCACATGCCTCTGGGGTGAGTCACCAACAGAAGCATTCTGCTCCTCCCAGGCACTGGACACTCAGCCTTCCTGGCAGGGGCAGAGGTGCAAGACACTTTGCGTGCCATGTTGCTTTGCTGGTTTAAACGCACTGAGATTTTGCACACATTTCACACCCCAAAAATTGTTCTATTTGCTGCAGCATGTCCTGAAATGGAATAATGAACAAGTCTGACTAGAAGTCAGTGCAGCACCCCAGCTCTGCCAGCACTGCTCTGCACTCCCAACACACCTGTCTTTGACCTGCAGCACCCCCTGCTGGTCCATTCTGCTCTTTACCATCCCCCCTGTACTTCACTATCCCATTTCTAGGCCCCTCTTCCCTCCCCACCCCCCGCAGCTTCTCACCAACACATCTCATGCTGAACTGCATCACCCCCTGCCATTGCAGACTTGGCCCCCACTAACCGCTCTGCCAGTCATCCTCAAGCCTCAGCTACCACACCCTCTCCAGCAGTGGTGCAAGGAGCTGTGATCAACCCCACCCAGCCCCAGGTGACAGTGCAGGC